CTCCCGCGCCTGCGCAGTTGGGGAGGGGCCGGCGCGCGGGGCCGGGAATGACTTCGGGTTTGCACGTGCGGGGCTCCTGCTCTGCGCTGCAGCTGTTGCCGCCGCCGCAGCTGCTGCTTTTCCGGCAGCCGCCGCGACATTCCTGCGTCCCTTTGATTTTCCTGTTCCCCCCCAGCTTACAGTGTTGCCTTTTTTTAAAAAAATGGTGCATTAACTCTCAAGTGGGGTTCCCCCATCCCCCTTTTACCGGGATGGCCCTATGCAGTGAATGAGTGCAGCCATGTTGTGTTCAGAAGCTTAATTCTGAGGCTGAGTGGCAGGTTGGCTGGCCAGTTTGAAGGAAGCGGGGTGAGCTGCCGCTTTCTTTTATTTATTTCAACCTTCCTCCCCAAGGAAAAGGTTGAGACAGACGGTACCGTTGAAAGCCACTGAGAGAGCCAGTGTCGGTGAGCCAGGAGTGGGGAGACCCGATTCTGGTCTGCCTTCAGGCCTGGAAGCTCTGGATGGTTTTGGGCTAGTCACTCTCACTTCCCCCTCTGTTCATTCCTCATCTCAAAACTTCTCTACCCTGAGTGGAATTTCTGTACTCTACAAATGTTTTGATTTGGTGCGTTTGCTGATATAATTCTTTTTTTCCATTGTCCGAAATTCCTATTTTAGAGTCACGAATGGCGGGAAGACCACCTTGACTGATAAACTCACACAGTCGCTACCCAACTGTAGTGTGGTGCATCAAGATGACTTCTTTAAGGTGGGTCAGGAAACTTAGTTTATTTTTCCTTCCATTCCCATTCTTTGCTGTTTTGTTTTGTCAGGTATTCAAAAGCCATTATATAATTTCCTCTTCCTGACTAGAATGTGCGGATATAGGCTATCTTGGGAAGTGTGCTGATTCTTAACGTATGAGCTTATAGTTTGTGATGATGTTGGTACAGTTAAAGCCTAGCATTCTGCCCATGTAATTGATGGGAACTGCTGTGGCATTGTCCACAGACAAACATGGCTGAGCCTGGATAACTCCTCAGGATAATACAGACAGAATTGTTCTTGCAACTTTTAGAGCATCTACTGAATAAACTATATTTATTTCAGTTATATCAAGTATGTTACTCATTGCCTAAAAAAGTGGAGATTCTCCTTTGCCCATGGCTCTGTAGTTTTAAGAAATTAAGTTAAGGTGCAATCTGGGGGGCTCAGTATGCAGACTATATGTATATATGTATATTTATACTGAGTATGCAAGTCTGAGCATATTTTGTGATTCAAACACAAAACTAAGCGATTTGGAATTGGTCATGTCTTGTAAAAGAAAGTTTAGAAAGTGTTTAGAAAATAATTTCTGCAGAACCTTCAACCTGAGCTTTAATATGTCACTTTTGTTAGGATAAAATATGAAAATAAATGTAGATGTAGATATCTAATCTGTACAGATTCCCAAGCCTTACTTGTTCCTAGAATAGTCCTGTATCTTCATGCTGAATTGTAGCTTGTTCAGTAGTGAATAAAACTATAACAGTGGCGTGTGAATGCAATTTTGCCTCTTCTTAATTCTGTTTCTTCCTAGATATAAAAAGAACCAGTATATTCAGTTTTAACAGCAAGAGAGTAAGGATTCTGTCAATTGATTGCTTCCTCATAGCTCTTCTCAAGTACATACTGGCTTGCTTACACTTAACTGAGAGGAAAGATAACGGAAAGAAAATGGCAGATGGCACATTAAGAAACCACCTTCTCTGCTCTCTTTGTACTAAAACCTCTTCCTTAGGATGTTGGGATGTTTATTTTAAATGCATAGTGAGCTGCAATTTGCCTCTCTGAATGAACATCTTCAGCCTAAGTTTTTGTTCCATCTTTTTACAGATTGTCTCAATCTTTCCATTATTTTCTCCAATCCTTCATCAGATCCATACATATTTTGAATTCCATGTGTTTGCAGAATCACTATTAGTGAAACTTTGTCTGTTTTACAGCTCTTGTTTTCCCAGCTTATGAACTACATGGAGTTTCATGTTATTCTTCTGTTAAGTCTTAAGTGTTGGTCTTCCCTTTAACGTGTTTATGTTTTGTCATATATCAGTTTACTTCTGGAGGGTTGGGGCATAAAGGTTTTTCTGTAGTTTGTGGATAAGATCCCAATATACTGTTGGGATGACTCTTCTGTTTTGAAAATAGGATAGGTGTCTATTTGTTAGTGATGAGATAAAGGGTAAAGTGACTTGTCATTGCCTTGTGACCCTACATTATGTAAGTTATTGAAGGTCCAGCTATAATCTCTTAATAAGACAACTATCAGTCAATTTTCAACACAGTTTTATCCATCTTGCTCTTCTTAAAATTAGCCTTGGAAAATCTGTGACTAGCTCTGCAGACAGTTTTTGTTCTGTTTCAGCCCCAGGATGAGATACAGGTTGAAGATGGATTTAAACAGTATGATGGTAAGTTCTATTTATATCAATGCAGTAATTAGCTATTTTAAAAACCCTATAGCTTTCTCGTAGAACCAGTCAATGAACTGAAGAAAGAATAAGAATGCAAGTTTGATAGCCAACTGAGATCAGGGTATTTCATAACTTCTTATACTGTTGGTGTCTTCCTTTGGATCTAACATATTACTGTTTTTTTGCCTTAGTTATTAGCGCTTTGGATATGGATGCAATGATGAGTACCATCAGTGCCTGGAGGAAAAACCCGATCAAGTTTGAGCGATCCCATGGCATTAATATACTTGATACCAGAACAACAGAGGAAAATGATGATACCATTCATATTCTTATTGTAGAAGGATTTTTACTTTATACTTACAGGTAACTGAAGTCAAGGCAATGACTTCTAATAGAGGAATGTTCTGTAGGTCCTGCCATTTCAGTCATAGGACTGACAGCTTTCTGTATCTTATCAAGTACCTGCCTACGCTTGTTTATTAGCAGGTATTTGACAGATAACGCAGTAGGTGTTGTGTGGACCATTCTGATTGTACAACGTACATGAGAGCAGGTTGCGATTAGATAAATTTTACTTGTTCGTGTTTTCAGATTATGTATACAGAGGATCATGAAGGAGGAGCACCTTTTTGATGGGCCCTTCTGTTGCATTTAACCCGTAGCTGATAACTTTCTACCTATTGCAGGGTATAAACCAGGCAGAAAAGCAGTTATTTAGGTAGTGAGAAATCCTAGAGACTTACTGTACTGAATGAAGAGGCCAAAAACAAATAAACAAGATACATCTGAAGTAATGTAGGTGCAACCTAAAATATTCCAAGATGTTTTGGAGCGTAGATACACTAGTGGTTTTCAAACTTGGCCACTTAAAGATGTGTGGAGTTCAATTCCCAGAATTCCCTAGCCAGCATGCCAAAACGACTACATAATGGTTTAGCATAATGTGTACGTGCAGCTGTAGCCATTGATACTGGGCACTGACTTAAAATGGTTTTAGAAAAAGCATTCAGCCATTCGTGGGAGAATAGATATGTACATGGAGAGTCGGTATGAGCTGCACCAGGGTCAGTATGTCTCCCTAATGGGGAGGCTTTATTTTCTGATGGTGAGCTTCCCAGAAACTCTCAGTCGTGGTTAAGAACATGATGCTGCACAAGATGGGACTTTGCCCATGTATTCTGTTGTGTAGCAAAACAAACAACCTGACAGATTTTCCTTCTTTTCAGACCCCTGATTGATGTTTTTGATGTCCGATATTTTCTTTTTATTCCTTACGAAGAATGTAAGAGGAGGAGAAGGTAAGTCTGATATGAAAATAATGTTACAGGTGGATATGTAAAAGGACTTGATAACTATAAAAGATCAACATAACAACCCAGTTCAAATGGATTTTTTCTTTGTCTAGTTCAAGGAATTACACTGTCCCAGATCCACCCGGGCTATTTGATGGTCATGTTTGGCCCATGTATATCAAACATAAGAAGGTGATGGAAGACCTTAATGTTGATGTTGGTAAGTTAAATTGGATTTTGGAAGCCCCTTTTGAATTTGATTTTCACTAAGGTTGAATAATTGAGTATCACTAAGTTAGATAATTAAGGGCACTTCAAGATGTAGGTCTTTCTATAACATTCTCAGGGTTGTTTGCAAATACAACGTGTTGCTGTCACATAAATAATTTTACTTAAACTGTAACTGTTTATAGTTAATTCTCTTTATCATTTACTTTGCAGCTCTGTCCACAGACTGAAAATGAAAGGGATAGGGATTGCTTGGGTCAGGAAGTCAGAATAGTTTTGCTTAGTTGTCTGGACTCAGTTTTTACTTGCTGAAGGTTAGTAGCTTTATAATAGCCTGTAATCAGTACCATGGTTTTTAAGAAACTATAGTTTGAACAAGCCATCATTTGCTAAATTTGGAAACAATAACAAGCTGCAATTTTCTGCTGTTCAGAAAACATTATGATTGTGATTTTTTTTTTTTAACCACTGAGCATAAGGCAGCAATATATCACTTAATACTGAGCCCAGCAAAATTGTTCTTATTTTCAAATGGTGCTGTTTATATTCCAGTTCAATTGGATGGAACAAAATCAAGGGAGGAACTTTTTAACAGTGTCTACAATCATATCCAGAACAACTTAGAAGAACTGATTAAGAAGATGGTATGTATTTTACTTAAAAGTGTGGGAGCAAATCATGTGTAGATTATTATGTGCAAAGAAATTCTAGCATCATTGTTTTGGAATGGTGATTACAAATCTAAGAATTCCACTAGTTAGTCTGCTATTCAAAGGCGTACTGATAAAGACAGAGTTGTTGTTTTGAACATACATCAAAAAGTGGTTGTTCCAAGCAGAAGTGGTTTGGTGGGGAGCTGGAAAAGATCAAGGGCATTAGTGACTGGGGAGGGAGGCAAGGTGCTAGGATTGGGGGACAGATGGCATAGATGGTGCTTGTTGTCTGCTGACGAAACCATCGGAGTAAAGAACAGATGAACAGGCTGTTTCAGTGGTTGCAGCTGAGAGGAGGCACAGAAAGGATGGCACTGGGGAGCTGGTGGAATATGCCGTATTGGGACACTGACAGTGGGGTGGGAAGCTTCAGCTGATGGGATATGCTGTGCTGCAAACTACTGAGGGGAGACGGTGACAGGCAGCATCCTTTCTCTGCTTGTTCCATAAGATTGCTTTAGGATCCCTCTGATTTTGTTTCATTTGAAACCCAGAGCAACTAAAACATTCTGGGTTTTTGTTCTACCAAACTGTAGCTAATTTGAAATGATTCCACACAACTTCCACAGTATAATGGCTTGTTTAGGTTTAGAAAATATATTTTCTGGTTTGTACATACCCTTTAAAAAGACATCTGTAGAATTATTACAATACAGGTAGTCTTCGCTTACTGACCGCTTGTTCGGTGACCGTTCAAAGTTACAATGGTGCTGAAAAGGGAGATTTACAACCGGTTCTTGAAGCTGTGGCTGTTACAGCATCCCTCCGGTCACATGATTGTGATTCGGGTGCTTGGCAATCAGTGCACATTTACAATGGTCGCAGCATCCCATGGTCTGGGTCATGATCCCAGAACAGATTACAATTTGCAACCTTCACAGCTGGTTTCCAACAAGCAAAAAGCCAATGGGGAAGCTGAAAGTTGTGGTCACGTTATGCCACACTTAACGACCGCAGTGATTCGCTTAACAACTGCAGCCGGAACTGACGTAAGTCGGTGTGATCGTGTGATGTTTCATTTTGCAGCCGTGTCACTTAGCAACAGAATTACCAGTCCCAATTGTGATTGGTAAGTGAGGACTACCTGTACTGTTTCAGCATTGTGCATAGCTATTTCAACTTTTTCCTGCTCATTAGATCGCAAACTGATCACCTCCTAACATGGTAGTAAAAATTCTGCTTCATCCAGCTTTTTCAAATAGCTCGAGTTATTAAATTGGTACCTCCAGAATTTTGTAAGTCACATTGGTGTTAGAAACATAGACTCTCTTTCAGAACAGGTAGCAAGTGAAGGAATATGGAATGAGTTTTGTGGAGTTGACTTTTATTATTTCTCTATCATTGGACTTCTGATCTTTTTAGAAATGATTGTAAAGCTTGTCTGAGGAACTCATTAGTAATTTTGAGCCAGTAACTATCTCAGTCCAACCAAACTCATAGGGATGTTGCTATGGAAATAAAAAGAAGATAGAATGTATGCTGCCTTTGCCTCTGGAAGAAAGGCAGCATAAATTAAAATACGAGTAATTATATGGTAGCTGACTTACAGCAGTGAGAGGCAATTAATGACATAATACAATTCTCCAATATGTAGCAATACAAAAAAATGTAGTTTACTGTAATTTCTGCGTATTATATATCTGGTAGAGAAACTAACACATTTAACTGAAAAGATAAGGGAAAATGTTTCCAGAATATATTGCACACCCTAATAATGAAGTTCCATATTTTGCTGAAAGTTAAAGCTACAATTAAATTAGTCTTTGTATACAGATAAATCAGTTACATTCTAGAGAGTTGATAGGACTAGGTGGTTTAAGCTGTATTTGGAATAAAAATTCCTCTTGATGTAGTATCCCTTTTTTGAAAGGTTATCATATCAAAAATATTTATGTGAAGTATTAAACTTGTGCTTATGCTGTGACTTTCCTATCTCCACAAACTCAAGAAATTGCAGTAGCTCATTAAGCATTGACCACTTGGTTGACTTTTCAGAAACTTGAGCTGTGCAATTCTAATAAATTTGTTCTCCCTTACCATGAATTCTTAAACTTCTACTTGAAAGCAAGTGCTGTTGACTTCAATGGAACTTCCAGGTCTATGAGAATAGGATTGTAGCCTTACTGTATTTACAAAGATGTACAGCAGCCATTCACAGCATGTTTTTCTTCTTACAGCATTAGACAAGTGGCTGGGGAGTTCCTGAGAAGATACATCTTCAGTAACTCTGTGCGTTAGTGTGTGTGTATGCTGACTTGGCGGTAAAGGTGATTTTTAAAAAAATCTTGATGTAAGGCTTTAAAATCTGGCCTTGATTAAAACACGCCTTTTACTGTATCTTTGTGGAATTGTGCTTTTTGCTTAATGCCAGTCTGCAGGAAGCGGCTTTATATTCGGGTAGACATCTTTTTCTTCATCTGGACTTGGCAGGGACTTTGTATGCCAAGTCAGGAACAGGAAGTCCTTTTGGGTCCCTAGCTACCTGACCTTTTTTTAAGCTATTGTGTTGAATACTAAAACAGCCCCTTTTCTTTGCAAAGTATTTATTCTACCACTGAGCTGTGATACTTCAGCAACCATTGAAAAACAATGCTATAATTGAGCAATCTACAGAGAACTGGTAGCTGAAACAGGTCCCGCATAAGAGATGTTGACTAAAACAATGTGAAAAGCTAAGTTAGTACAGGAATGCAAATACTCCAGTTCACCTCCACAACAGAAAACCATTATTTTAACTGGATAAAGATAGGAGTGCTTTCCATTTAATAATGAAGAGTTCCATGCCTTCTGTTTAAAAACAAAGCAAGTGGCTCTTGGTGTGTCAGTTAACAACAGTTTGCACTTAAAACTTCTGTAAATGCCAGCAACTTTGTAAGGTGGGCCATTATCAGTGCATGGGAGTTTCAAGGGAAAAGGCATTCAAGGTGATAGAGAGCAGATTTTTAAAAAGCCATCCTAAAGTTCATGAATGAGGTGAGGTGAGTTAGTGTCCTTTTAGGTTACACAACCACTGTGACCGTTATTGAAGGCTAATTCTGTCAGCTTGACATTGCTAAAAATACAGCTGCTGGCTGTGCTTGCTGGGCAATACTTTGCTACTTGTAAGTACAGAAATAAAGAAAAGCTGTACCTGAGTTTTAAGATGCAGAGGACTCTGAAGGTTGCATTCCTACAGAGAAGTTATTTTATTAATTTCTGTGGAGAATCTCTGAATGCTTTTTTTTTTTTTTTTTTTAAGTGTTACATGATTTGTAGCTGGCAGAGGATGACTTCAGCTGTTACTTCAAGCCAAGGTGGAATAGTTTCCTCACTGGAGCTGGACCACCCCAGTATCCCCTATGAGAAAGGGGGGAAAAAAGAATTTATACCTCTCCAGAGAATCATACATGCTAAAGATTTCCTGAAATAAAATGTAACACTATGTCAATAGAAAACATTGCTGCTCCTTATAATGGAATCAAATGAAGCAATTTCAACATGCAAATTAAACATTAAAATATGATTTTCTGCACTAAAATAAACACCAACCAGAAGTGCTACAAACTATTTTTGTGCAACAGACTAAGACAATACCTGTTCTGGAAATTCAGTTGATATTTACATGTAATAAACTAGTGTACACAATTGTTTATTCTTGTAGGAAGTGGCCAAAATTAAAATTGTGCATGCAGGGATAGACAAACATTAACAATTCAGGCTTATGTTGGCAGGATAGATATGTCCTTTACAGAACATATTTCCAGTTCAGTCTATCCCATAGCAAGCACATTTTATGTTCTCTACCACTATCCAAGGATTTTAGATAAATGGCACTGCTCAAATTAAATCTGCCTACCTATGCAATTAATGCAGAATTTATTTATGTGTCACATTTATATAGCTACCCATCTCACACAAAGTGACTTTGTAAAAGTACAGAATTAACTGTATTTTTATGGGAGTCAGTTCTCCTTAACCCCTACCTAGTATGAATTGCGGTTTGCTAGAATACTTACTTTAGAAGACCATACCAATACAGATAGGGCATCATATTTGCCTTCATATGAAAACTTATCAGTCTCTCTTTGCTCTGGTCAAACGGAAATGTTTCTAAAGGTTGAGCATTGTAATCAAACTCGGCCAGGATTGCTCGGTTGTAGTTGGTTATTAGAGGACAGGAAGTATATCCATCATACTATAAAACATTAAAAATATATACCTTTTAGGATAAGAAAAGCACACGGTATCTTACATATCATAAGCCAGTTTGATGTAATGGTTAAGGCATCAGACTAGAAACTCAGACCATGGGTTCTAGTCCCACCATGGGCACGAAGCCAGCAGGATGACTTTGGGCCAGTCCCCCTCTCTCAGCCTAAGAACAAGGCCATGGCAAACCACTTCCAAAAACATTGTCAAGAAAACTGCAGGGACTAGTCCAGGCAGTCATCAGGAGTCAATGCTGACTTGAAGGCACCAAAATCAATAAATCCTAAATATTAAAAAAAAAACCCTCACATTTTTAGCATGTTGTCCACTTATGGGAGCATTTAGAATTAAGAATGTTTATATCATTGAGAGCAGATTTGGTGTAATGATTAAGGTGCTGGATTAAAAACCGTGAGACCATCAGTTCTGGTCCTCAGGCCAGGCACTCCCTCTCAGCTAGACCCCCTTCAAGGACTCTTATTGTGGGGGAAATATAAGGTGTGTTATGTACACCACCTTGAGTTGTACAAAATAAAAGCAAAATAAATTAATAAATTCTCAAAGGAGAAGCTGGTTATCTTAACCATACAAGAATCTTGGTAAAACAAAAATATAAATTAAATGTGTATTGACAGTTTCACTTGTAAATGTAAGCAATGGCATTGTTAAGGAATGTATTGAATTTTACTGAACTGATTAATGGCCTAGCTTTTTGATAAGTACACTTTAATGAGCTTCATGCTCCATGAATTTGGCTAATCCTCTTTTAAAGCCATTCAAACTGGTAACCCTTGTTAAGTTTAAGGGGTTGCAGAATTTAATGTACTGTGTGAAGAAATTCTTCTTTTTCTCCTTCTCCCATAATTCACTGTCATTGGGTGAATCCAGTTTTTAAAATTAGAAGCCATGGAAAGAAATTTCTTCCATTATTTAACGATCAGCTGTACAATACAGTTTGGAGATGCAGGGTCTAGAACTGTATGTAAAACTTCAGTCTTCAGAGCATTAAACTGACTTCTAAATGAGTTAAAAATTTAAACATAATCCATTGCAAATATGAATATTTCCCAAAAATAATAAAAGCCCATTGTCCCAATAAGAAGCAAGTATATAGTTCCTTTTCAGGACAAGTTACCTTTTTAGTGGGAGTTTTGCCCTTCATGATGCATGAAATTGTTTTATCAAGTACACCACACTGGCCAGCTGTGGAAGAGATAAAATGTTTTATTTTGTCCCATATTTCTACTCAAAGAAGAGCAGAGTTGTAATTTTTTAAGGTGGTTTAACTCTTTGAAGTTGGTGGCAGGGGGAAGATTTTTAGGAGCATGTTGGGAATGCTCTCAAGATTAGCCAAATTGTGGATCACTAATTATAACAGCCATTTATATGAATTGGTCATTTTTTTTCTCTGCCAACACATTTTTTAACTCCCCAGGAGTTAAAAGACTGCCATTTACAGTCTTCAGAAAGTCAGGTGGGACAAGGACTATGCCTTCTAAAAGCACTTAGTGTAACCACACAGAACTGCACAAGATAGACATCAAAATGCCAGAAACGTCTACAAGTGTTCAAGCAATGCCTTTAGTTTATTCTTTGTGAAAACCATATTAATTTACTCGCTGATTAACGTGAGATCCTCCCTTTCCAACTAAACCAGCCGTGTCCCACTGAAACCCAGAAGGCATGATAATTACAATAAATATAGGAAAATCTAGAAAAACCTGGAATTTGGAGTCCATGTTTTGATCAGGAAAAGGTACAGCTTTTAAATTAAGGACCTCCAACTGCAGTTGGGAAAGGCTACTAGCTAAGATCCTGGAGAATCAGACCATATGATACTTAAGAGTTTTGTTCACTTCTAAATTACTTAGCGATATCTATCAGATTTCAGAGGGAATAGTCTTTCAAATGAGACCACTTTAGTTGTTGCAGGTCATTCTGCAACCCACCTACAAGTTCAGATCCGACGACTGAGGGGACAAGCTCATGCTTTAAAATGCCAGCAATTCTCAACTACAAGTGTTATCTTTTAGTTAACATGTCCATGCATGATACAGTAAACAGCTGTATATCTGACTTAAGTATATAGGGACACTGGAGATAAAACAACACAATTTCATCCCCCATCCACCCAGTGCTGACTAGTTTTTCCCAGCCTCAGAATTAAGTGGTCAGTACTGTTGGAGAGCACCACGCTGGGAAAGGTGGCTCCAAATAGTGTGATTTCCAAATATAATTCCACTGTCAAAATTCATTTGGTATGATTGTTTTTATATCTAGGTGTTAAAACCCGACCTCCAAGGCTATCAGTGTGTTAAGAGTTTCCTAACCCTGTGTCACTTTGTGTAAGCCCTATAAGGTAGATCAGACTTAAGAAACCAACACTATGGAGGTCAGGGCTACTTTTATTGTAACAGAAACTCGCAAGTCTGGATGTGCTGCCCTCTCCCTTATATTCATGTGAACTAAGGAGGGGCCTGTCTGAGACTTTTTCTCACACGTTTCTTGGAACAGGCTCAAACTGTGCTTGCCTTGATAGCAGCTCTTCCGTCTTTCAAAGCTGTTCCCTATGCCCTCTACACCAGTATTTCTCAACCTCAACAACTTTAAGATGTGTGGACTTCAACTCCAGCATGCTGGCTGGGGAATTCTGGGAGTTGAAATCCACACATCTTAAAGTTGTTGAGGTTGAGAAACACTGCTGTACACTTTGCATAAAGTATAGTTATCTGGTACTAAACCTGGTGGGACAAAAGGTGTATACTCAGACTGGGTTCACATATGGTGCTTGTCTTGGTCTTGCTCCAATAAGCTAATGGATATATGGTGTAATATTATGTGTGAAACCAGTCACAGGCTTTGAGGCCCTCTCTCTCTCCCCTATTCCATAGAAAAACGTCTTACATTGAATCCTAATTGGGATCTCTCTGATGGCCAAATGAGTCAAATGCTTTCAGGCACAAGAGGATTCAGTTCAACATTTAAAACTGGCTTTTGGCCTTGCGTACAGGGAGACAAAAATGCAAATATCTAAAAATCTCACCAACAGCTGCAGCAGTCTTGGAGGTAGGGAGGTTTGTGCAGTCTCCAATCCCAAAAACATTTGGATATTTCACATGTTGCAGTGTCTCCTTGTTTACATCCACCCAGCCAGCTACGTCTGAAACTGGACTGTTTAACAGTACCTCGGGGGGACCCATGGGTGGAGTGACATGAAGCATTTCATACTGGATGCAGAGAAAGAAAAAGAAATGAGACTGATTAGCAATCTCATCCTCTAGATTAGTTTTAGCCAAATTCCCCAACTGAGATGAGGACTCCTTGACTAAGCAACTGGGGAGCCATGACTTCCAGCTTCGGTCCTTTCTTCTACAACAGTTTGCAGGTATCCTTGTTTAACAACCATTTGTTCAGTGACTGTTCGAAGTTACAACAGTGCTGAACGAATGGTACTTACGCCTGGTCCTCAAAACTACAGCCATGCAGTGTCCCTGCAGTCATATGATGTTTCACTTAATGGCCACATTGCCTGATGATAAAAATTCCAGTCTCAACTAGTCATTAAGTGAGGACTACCTGTACGCTTGCTGCTTCTAACTTCTGTATCACATAAGAATGGGTAGTGCTGCACGAGTAGGTTTTAAAAAGGCACATCCCATTCTCCAACACTTTTTTCCCTGCCAGTTCTAACAGACAACCAACTTAAACCATAAACAGAAATTTAATAGTCAAAGGAATTCACCCAGAAGGATCTGAAAGATTCCATTTGCTCACCCGATAAACTTGTGTCTCACCAGCTTTCTCCAAGTTCTCAAAAACTGCTTCCTGCTTATCTGCTCGGACTTCCACAAGGTTCCATCTGTAGTTAACTGTAATATCTCTTTGTCTGATAATCTCTAGCAGAGCATCAGCATACTTCTTAACACCAAATATCACTCCAAGGGAAGTATTGTATATGATCTTGGCTTTGGAGCGTTTTCCAGTCTATGGAAGATGAGAAAAAAAGTGATGCTTTCTTGAAAGTCCCTGGTTTCAGAATTCCTCTTCTTATCCATTTACACATATAGATGAGTGGTGAAAGCCATGAGCAAGGGATGAGTGCTTCCATATTTACCAAATTGCCAAATAATCTGTTAAGTTCGTTAATCATGACTGGGTTTATATATCCTGCCAAAAATTATTCCAGCTAACAGTTTCTGGAGTAGCCCCAGTAGATAATTCACCCAACACATTAGGCCATAAAGCACAGTTTACAAACTGCAATAATGGGATTCACGCTACATACTAACTTCAGTTAAGCACCTCTTCTAATATGATGTCTGCATCGATCCACTGGATATGCTGATTGCTACAGTTTTAGTTATGTGTGCAAATTCATGCAGATTTAACCAATCTTATTTAACTCAACTGTTCATCAACTGCCTTGTATTTCTTCAGCTAGATGAGCATTCTAAAGCTACTCATATTTTAAGTTTATATTCTAGCAGTTTAAACTAGCATAAGTGCACTTCTGATAAACTGGGTCTTTGGGATTACAACATTATTCTTACCTGTTCAGGCAACAATACCAGTTGCTGATACGTACCTTTCTCAAGTATGCCTCAGACAAGTACATGATCTTTTGTGGCGCCCCTGCACATTTCACTGGGGTATTTGGAAAGGTGAAAATGGCATTTCCTTCCTGGAAACCCTGCAGAGCTTTCCATGTTTTCTCCACTGTGTGAACGGAATAATTGGAACCTATTTTAGGAAACTTAAAACCCTCAGGCAAGCCTTTGATCTGTAATAAAACAAAATTAGCAGTGTTGTATTTCACTGGGTTAAACTTGCAGGCCATAGTATATTACACTCAAGACCCATTTATTTCCAAGCATAGCATCCTGGCTTCACCAATTGAGCTAAGCCATAGTTCCTTTAGCAATGCTTTATTGAATAAGCCACCCATGTGTTCAATTCACACAACACATTAAGACATAAACCATCATCTACAAACCACAATAGCAGGGTTCACACAACATAGTACGTCCAAAGTAAACAACTTACATTATAGCTTAGTGTATTGTGATGTTGTCACACATTTGCTCAGACTTCCATACAACCAAGATCATATCCACAGATACTCCATTCACATTTAACTTGATTTGTGAATATTATCTTAATGTGTAAATATTTGCAAAATACTCAGATTAAATCATCACACCTCTTTACTGGATAAAGGGCAAGACTGGCACTGGTGTATATAAACTGTTGCCTGAATTAACAGGAGAGAGGAGTGGCAAGGAGAGGCTGACCTCATTTTTTTGACAGTTCCCTTAGCTATCATGTTTTCAAACTCAGGGGAAGAATGATTTGGATAAACGCGTGAATTCAAAAAGTTTGGCTGTGGGTTTCATTAGAGACCTTTCCACCTTCTTCATTTTGCTAGATGAACCCAGAACAAAGATTAATAGACTCATCTCTAGTGCTGAATATAACCTAGCATCCTTAAAGAAGAAAAATAATTTTTTGCTATACTTCTAGCGCTGCCTCCCAAAGTGCCCAGTTAGCGATCATTTGTGGTGTCCACCATTAAAACAAGCTCATTTCACATAAACATTGTAGGTGTCCCTGGATACATTCAATTTCTTGATAAAACACTAGAGGTCCCTCATGGGTTTCTTCTACTGGATTTATCCATGCTACAGGTTGCACAACCTCAGTTGCACAATTTCCACAGAGTACTTCCTTGTGGGAAAGATGCAACACTATTTCTTACAGTCGTGTTCAGAAGGTGGGATTTTCATAAAAGGAGCACGCAAGCCACTGAACCCTGGTTCCTATCAGCAGAGAAATCTCCTAAGAAAATACCAACAGAGCACTTATACTATCAGAGCTTAAATAAAATACCTTTTCAAAATGCAGCTGCAGCCCGAGAGCAACGATCAAATACTTATAAGATACCTTTAAAAGAAGGAAGGAAACCATTATTTTAAACAGGAACCAAGGATTTTTCAATAGACAGTTGGCCATAAATGCTGGACATGCAGTCTCGCCTATGTACCTGGATATCACTATTGCAGCAAGAATCATGCAAAAAAATCACAACATCAGATAAAGTTTTTTAGAAGTTCAAAGAAAACATTTATAGGAGAAGATAGCAGAAATATTGTGATGAGTAACATTAGAACCAAAGAGTAAATATCATGTATTCAAGCTCTATCAATTGTTTGTGCAGATGAGATTTAATTGAGCAGGTAAATCAGAAAGTTTAAATGGGCTACCTTTTGATTGTTCCCCAAATAGACACAGTTGTTATCTGGATCCAGCTTTTCCACCTTGGACTGGATCCACTTTACACCCGAAGGAATAACACTTGCTGTTGGACGGGCTGATGTAGCCAACTGCTTTGCCCCAGCTCCAACTAAAGTCCAGATGGGCTGATAATAGTGTTTCTGAAAGAAATAATTTTTGGATAAAAGCTGGCAGCAAAGCACAAGTAGTGGAATGGAAATGAACAAGTGAAATCAGACAGTTCACACTTCTAGGGAGATTTGGTAAATCAGGCTAAAGAATTTCCCTTGATTATACTGAGCAGGAATTTTGGGAGCTATAAATTCAATATACCTGGATAGTTCTGTGTTGGGAAAAGGCTGCTAATGGGAAGAGAATCCTTTATAACTTTACCTAATTCCTTATTTAAGTGAGTGACCTTCACCTGATCTTTCTGGCAGTGGCTTCTACAAACTAATGGTGTGCTTTTTGAAGAAACATTGAGATTACACAAGAGACTAAACTATTGTTTTCTTAACTTCTTTAGGCATAAAACATAATTAATTAGGTTCCTACAATATCCTTAAACCCTAAACAGGTTGACAAATCAAAATGGCTGGGTTTCACTTCAACACGCAAAACGAAACCAAGCAAACCTGATTACCTCTTAGCATGATATGTTAATCCAGCCACTACTATTAACTGTTTTAATTGGCTGACCCTGCTTAAATTCATATTTATACCTGCTAATTCACTGACTTACAAAATAGCACATCAGAATTACTGAGCAAGCATCCAATCCTTCTTGCTAGCTTGTCCTGCCAATGGACACAGCTAACAAACTCAGATAGTTCTCAAGTTCCAGAAGACAAGCCAGAATTCCTGGTTTGTATGACTGAACAATGGATGAAGCTGTTCAGGCTTACCAAAAATGCACATTGATCAGAGGAACATGCAGGAGCAATTTAAGTGATGTTCACTAGCATTCTGTTCATCACTGGTGAAAATTCTAGTCTACCATTTTATACCAACATGGATCCTGAAGGAACAAGCTGCAAATATGTTATAAAAGAACCTTGATCTCTCCAAGTGATACCAACATTCACACCTACCCAACTACTTTAGGTGTGTCCAAGAGCATGACTACACCTAGTGGGATCATTGCCATGAAAATAACAGATCTCATTAACTGCTTCTTAGATGTCTCTTCCTTTAAAAAAAAAAGTTGTGTTTTATTGCTGCTTGAGAAATAAAGTCCTAAGTCAGCTTTAGTGTACAGATCTGGGGGAAAGTTTTCATGAAAGGTAGCTTAATTTATCTTTGTTAATGGATTTCATTTAAACAGAGTTATCTTTCACCTTTTAGGCTTATCACAGTAGAAAATACCTATTTTCCAGAACTAAAAACAAGAAAAAAAAATATAATCAATGCAACCATATAGTTAAACTAGCTAGAGTCCCACAGACCCGCAAATGACATTGCTGCCTTGGCTGGAAATTTGAGGAGCTACAGTTTCAGCACATCTGGAAGGCACAGGTTGGGGAAAGCGATCTTAGAGGAAAAAACGCTAGATTAACATGTCACACTAAGCCAGTGTTTCTCAGCCTTGGCAACTTTACAATTTGTGGACTTCAACTCCCAGAATTGAGAAACACTGCACTAAGCTATGACATGGCTCATGAGTTTAAGCTAAGCATGATGTGTAGACCCAGCCACTGTACTTTATAAACCATGACAAATGTCTAAACATATTCCGTGAGCCATATGAATATGAAGCATTCAAGAATTGATAGACTGTGGAAGGGTGTAAGTGCAATAAATACATAACATTCTTTCTTGCGGGGAAGAGTTTGACAGACAGCTGTCAAGGAGGAAACAGAGAAAGCATCTTAAGATCTATCTGTGAAAGGTGTTGTGAAGACAATGCAACCGCATTCTGAGAGTTGAAGTCCACACATCTTAAAGGTGTTGAGGTTAGAAAACACTGCTCTAGACCATATTATTCTTGCTTATTGATATGACAAAGGGGTCTCAATGGAGTAGCTCCAGATTGTAATGCGCTGGGAAGGACATCCATGTCTCTTCTGAGATGCAACTAACTGCTATTAATTTTTTTTCCTGCTAACTGCTACAAACAAATTACATCAAGTTATTCCTTGAAGAAATGGCCCTTTTAGGTCTGTCTTCTTTATCTTCTTTAGAGGAAATTTCCTTCTAAATGCCTTTGTTCTAGGGCTGCTTTGCTCAATCTGGTTCTTTTCCAGATCATTTGGACTACAGATCAAGGTGAAAGATGTAGAATATAACAGAACAAACGTGGCCTAATTCCACATGTGGGAGAGCGGCAATACAATCCCACCCTAACAGTAGAAGCCAAAACTTTAGGATTTCCTATTCCAGGTGAAATGTTGGTGCCTGTAGATCTGATCCCAACAGTCTGATGCTCAGTCATGGGTCACACTTTGTTTCTGCTCATTAACAAGCTGGAGCGGCATTTTTTTCCTCTGCATCAGTACTTACAGAAAATAGACACCAATTCATTATTAAATTTTTAAAAATAGAGAAGACCCTTCAAAAAAGTCGGAGAAAGTACCCTTTCCTTGGGAACACATGTGGGACAGGACTGTTCCAACTGCTAGCATTTCAAAGATTCTGCTCTTTGGGCCAGAGAGAGAAGCATTTACCTCCTGGGGTTCCACCACTGCCACATTGCCAGCTCCCACTTTCCGCTTCATCCGGGCACTCATGGTGATTCCTCCTGAACCTCCACCAAGCACCAGCACTTCGTAGTAATCCTTCGAAGCAGTCCTGGCTGTTGTGTGTAACTGGGACGAACTCATTTTGGGAATTCCCAATCTAAGTAAAGGCACCAAGGGACGGGCACAAGTGCAGGAGGACATCAACCCAATGGTAGCCATCTTGGGTGAGATCAACTTGGGAAGTTCTAGAGAAAGAGGCAGAACATCAAAGTAAAGGTGAATTCTTTTTCAAATGTCATTTTCATTCTTTATCTTATTCTACTAAAGAGCTTTAGCAGTGCCTGAATAAAGGATTTGAAAGCAGGTCCCCCAAGACATAGTCCAACATTCAAAATATGGTATCAGTACTTGGGTTCCAAAGTGTGACTCAGTCATTGCTGATATTATGGAAGGCTCAAGGCATATGGACAATGCAAACAACTTCAATATTGGACTGCCTTGCAAATCGTAGATTATTTGTTAGTTTTTGAAGAAGGCTTGGTGATCCCTTATCAGGGATTCTAAAACAGCAGATTTTCTGCACTGGCAGGTTGGGTTAGATGACCTTTGAGGCCTCTTAAAAGCTATAGGTTCTAATATCTCCAGGCACAATACCCAAGTTTCTCATATCAGCCATGTGTTATTCCTTTGCTAAATTACTCACATCCAGGAATGTTTTCCTAAAACTTTCTAGTAAAACTTTTCTGACATACAGACAAAAGCAAAATATTTTCTTTTAATGTATCTTACTCTTACAATTACAACAATGTACATCCAGATGGAAAAGACCGTTTTTATGTATGGGACAGCAGTCAGAAATTTTACTATACTATTCCAACACTGGATATGCTATTAAAAATGATAAAAACTTTGTTGACACACTTTCTAAGAAGTTACATTTGTTCCATCTACATTTCATTATTTCAGAGATAACATTAATATAGTTGGAGAAGGCAGTTTTTGTTTTTAGCAGCTGTAAAAAAATGTGGTATATGTTTGCTGCTTTTGGCAAAATGCAAATGTTCTTACATTTTTTTTAGATGGGTAATAGATTGCCTTTTAAGACATTATTTATGAAGCTCATGCAGATTCTGCATTATGTCAAATTCAGCAGTGTTTTGTCCCATGAAAGACGCCTTAATTTTTTTTTAATCTACTCTCTGGCAATTGTTTTCCACACCCAGTTTCAACCTTCCCACTTTTTTCCTCCTTGAGACTTATGCCAATTCTATTTTACATGAATGGATTTTTTTTACTATTGAGAAACTGATAACACGATTCTTCAACAGAAAGTTCAGTTAAGTTCAGACTCTCCCAGATAAAATATCTGCATGATTGTATTATAAATTAACTGCAATTTATGTGACTGTGGTGTGGGTTGAATGATTCAGCCATTGGCCATAACAACGTTCATATTACTTGTACAGGCAGTTAAGCAATTGAGAAGGTTTATAAAATGGATGCTGGCTTGCGCACGTGACACTTGACAGAATCCACATGAAGTCAGCTTGGGAGAAAAGCTAAACCAATTGCTAATTCTTGACAACAAACATAAAAGCATGTTTATTTTACAGATCTGGCCCACGTCCACAACTTCTTTTTAAGAAACACAATTCACTATATGGCCCTCCAGTAGAGAGAGTGAAGAGTAGGAAGAGAAATTAGATGATGGCAATGCAACTCTCCCCTGAAGTGCAGAAGATGTGAATGGTATATAATCAAGCCTTTGATGACTCAAGTCTTCTGCATCCAGCCACCCAGTTTCTTCCCACTCTTCTTCCACTGGATTTATGGCATCTCCCATCCCAAACTTTGAGAAAGGAGGTTGAGAAATATTTTTCTTCACACGCATTCAGCTTAATTTATCTGAACTCCTGAAAAACTGGTCAAAGAAGTGGGTTGCTGCCTTTTTGGAGCATTCGTTTAGGAGAGATGGAAAAAGCAACTTCTGCAACACTAAAAGGCCAAGGCTGTGGGATGCATTTCAAGCTTGTCTGGGAACGGTACTCCAGAGTTCCAGCTTAAGGAAGATAGACCTATTTCCCTTCCTGGGCGAGAAGCAACTTCTGGAAATCTTTGCCTTTGTGGACAAGATTAAAATACTGGCAATAAGCTTCAGTGCATCTGGACTTTGTTGTGTCGGTTTTAGCATACCTAGAAACTCTCAGCTGGTAAGAGGGCCTGGATGATCTTGTCTTTGCTTGGAAGCTAAGTAGAATCAGGCCTGGTGAGGACTTGAATGAGAGACCACTTGAGAATTAGAAAGCTGTAGGCTGAAGGTTAAAACACACACACACACACACACACACACCAGGAGAAAGTCATTTCCCCTGTTGCTGACAAGAAAGATGCATGGACAAGGAATAGGAGGAGGTTCATCCAGAGACCTAGAGGTTAGAATTACAGTGGGTCCAATACATTTATAGGGAAGTTAAAAGTTCAAGTCCGTGCTCGCCTATGGAAAGTCCTGCATGTCAGCTGTTTCCTTCTGCCCAAATTACGATGCAAGGTTATTGGTATGAAGTGGGATGAACCCCCCTCTCTGAGCCCCATAGAGGAAAGATGGGACATAAATACTAGATTCTGTATATGTGTGTGTGTGTGTGTGTACATACACATATCTTAGTTATGCACATTAAAGGCACACGAAGTGCACAACCTTCCAATTTTCACACTTGGTGAGGTACATTTTGACCTACTGATGACGCACTGTAGAATAAATATGTTTTCTGCTCTGTCTTTCAACCCAGAAAGCAAACAGTTGGCTCCTGTATTTATATCAGCAAAGGTCTGCCTCTTGCAGAGTAACTGAACATCGCTCAATGCCATTCCCTTATGGCTGCATATAGTTTGAAGGCCAAGAACTAAGAGTGAATTTTATGCAACCCTGTCCTACTCTTGAAGACAAAAAAGGACAACCCGTTCCCCAGCTGAACAGTGGCCACAAATATCTGTATCCCAGCACTGTTCACTCCAGATCACCCCTGCCACCTCGTAAATAGATTTTCCGTTATTAACATTGCATGAAAACCATCACTTTCTGACTTGACAAAGGGCTACGGCTTAATGATTAAACAGCAATTTCCTTCCAATGGGAAAAATAGCAGAAAGCAAAGATCTAACTCCTCCTCACCATCTGGCAGACCCAACGGGTCAAAAGACTTTGAGCAATTTCAGGGTAGGGTCTCTTTCCATAGATGCCAAAGATGGAAACCCCAGTTTCATTTGATCTAGGAGAAAAGGTTACTCCGAGTCTCAACCCACAGACTGTCCCACCAAGGTCAACAGCTTTTTCAGACCACAAACACTGTCACATAATCCGGATGGTACAGGAGCTCCAAAGTTTAAAAATGGCCCCAATTCTCTCCTGGGTAATGTTTCTCAACCTTAGCAACTTTAAGATGTGTGGACTTCAACTCCCAGAATGCTGGCTGGGGAATTCTGGGAGT